GGTCATTTTCTAGTGAGCCCTGACAGTGTTCATGACAGTCAAGCATTGTTCTTGTTCTGATTAAGACACACTCAGCCCCTTGATGCCACGCCTGCACCCTGACCCGCCAGTGTTACCCACTTCTAATGCAGCCATGCCCGTGTTTATGGAGCCCTTACCCCAAAGCAGCCGCGCTTGATTCCACTGGATGAGTAACTCCTTTCCACAAAACCCATCTGCTACTATTTTCTCATGTCACATGCTTCCTCATTCATCTGAGATGGATCTTTTAATCCTAGACATTAATATTAGTTTATCCCAGGAAAGATTTGTTCTCAGAACTAAACGAAGCTTTAAAAACCCAAAAGTACATCTGATGACAAATGGTTATTGATTTAGGTTTGTTGGCCATCTTCACAGACCGGGTGGCCAGGCCCACTAGAAATCAGTCATTATGATCACCAGTGGTCTAAAAATGTTCAAATCTAGAGCTGCAGATGGAAGCAGCATTTGCTACCCTTGTAGTGTAACTTTCCTAAATATTCTCCACCATCAATGAACCATCTAGATTTCTGTTACCCTCTGGATCCTTGGGCTGGTGAAGAAGTCTTAAGCTGGACATGGCATATAATATCTAAAATGGACATTTGCATCACTTTGCAGCCCCTGGTTTGCCCAGTTGTGTGGCTTAAGTTGAAAGTTAGTTTAGAGTTTCTGTTGTCATTCAGCCTTTGCCACCTTGGGCCTTCTGGCCTGGCTGACCAGGTGCCACCAGAATCTAGTGATACTGCATCTCTGTTATGCTTTAGGGGAGGTTATTCTCTGTCCACTCAAGTCCCCACACTAAGCCTCTCTCCTGGCCCAGTGAGGAGCCCTCTGACACCATGTGTGCAGGAGGATCTCTTGTTGGTCTAGCCCTTCCTGTCATGAAGGAGCAGAAGCTAAAATACTGAAGCCTGTGCCCTTTCCACATCATCTCTTTCTTCTTAGTAAGAATGATAGTCAGAGACTATCCCAGGGTCACATCCTGGGCGAGGCACTTTTACTTGCTGTGGGATCTCAGGCACACCACTTAAGGAAATTAAGGTCCAGAGAGGTTATCTGAAAAGGTGCAGGTAGTAGGAACACAGGATTGTCTGATGATTAGGTGAGATTATATGTGACACAGAGCATTTTATATCTGTTATATACTGATTAGCAGGTATCTCAGGAATCCTACCATTGAATGCTAACACTGAGCCAGACCCTTTACTAGGCCTGTCACATGTATTGTCTATTTAAATAAATCCTCTAACCCCTCTGAGATTCTGACTTTATAATTATAAAATGCAGAATTGGTACCTTGTCTAAGACTGCTTAGTTATTTAGTATCTGAGCTGAGCCATCACAGGGCTATCAAAGTAGCAATCTCACACTGTAGGTTTGTAGGTGTCACAGAACCTGACAGAGATAATTTTGGATGAGGATCTTCCTGGCATTCTTCAGTCATGCCACGCGAACAACGTCACTCTGCTTCCAAGGACAGCACACCCTGCTCTCGATCTTATGGCATTTTCCATTACATTTTCCATTGTTGAAGTTACAAGAAACTCTGTTTCTCTTCTCCCCGCAATAATATCCTTCCCCAAACTACTGTCTCTGGAACTTTCTACTCCTGAAAATATTTCTGGGAAATAAATGTCCTCTTTCACCATTCATCCCTCTCACTCCTGCCAGGCCCTTGGTGCGTCCTCAGAGATGGGCTGGTGGGAGCAGATCTTCTAATGCAGATGCTGAGTTAGAAGGGCGGCCTCTCCCCATCCATCAATTCTAACTGCATTCAAACATTTTCAATATGTGGGTTCCTTGATAACTTTCACTGTATGGAAAACAAAATAGAGGGAAATGATTATTGGCACAAAAGGGGGAAGCCGTAAATCTTCAAATCAGATATAGGACAGATTGGAACAATATGGGTTCTCCAAGGTTGCCATGATAATGTATCTAATAACTCTCCGTGGGCAAAGAGGCAGTCTGCTTTCAATCAATCTTGCTTTTTCTGAGCAGAAATACCAATTATGTTGAAGGGAGATTTTTTTTTCCTCCCTTTTTGATAAAGACTGCTCTTTACCCCAGAAATCATGCTGTAGCTAAAAGATATATATTTTAAATTGTCTAGAATGGTATTGGACAGCTAACACCAAATGAGAAAAGTCAATTTTTTTTTCTCCTCTCTCCTGTCAGCATTTGTCTACTTCTTAAGAGAAGTGAAAGCTAATTAAAGGCTTAAGGGATAATATTGATTGCATTGGAATATATTTTATATGTACCCAGCACATTTTCAACTAAGAGAACCCTGACTCTTTCTAAGGCTGCATAAATCAACTGGCTGGGCCTTTGATTCAAGGGTGAGAGGGTGAACTCATCTCCTTCCCTTCCACTTCTCACACATCTGTCCTAGAGATGAATGATTTTAAAAGAGGAAGAGGGAATGCTGGCAGATATTCATTCAGTTCTTTGCATACAGGATAGGAAAGATAAATGTCCAGGCATTTCTCTGGCCCTCTCTTTGATTTGAGTCCAGCTTTGAACAATACCCAGGCTTATGCTGGTATAGAACTACAAGCTTTGCAATGCCTGGGGCAGGAGGCTGGTCAGGGGTATTAACCTCTCAGTTCCCTCATCTGTTGAATGGGGATAAGAAGCTGGCCCAGGATCACACACATCCTTGGTGGCAGAGCAGGGAATCAAATCTGGCATACTTTCACAGCCAGGCAAAACCAAGATCAGCCCTGTGGAGGTACCCTTACCTTGGGTCATGCTGGTCTCACTCACTCATTCATTCATACATTTTTAGTCCTCACCTGAGGATATGTTTATTGATCTTAGAGAGAGAGGAAGGGGGGGAGAGAGAGAAACATCGATGTAAGAGAGAAACATCCATTGGTGGCCTCCCCTACATGCCCCAGCTGGGGATTGAATCCGCAACCTAGGTATGTGCCTCGACCAGGAATCGAACCTGCAACCTTTTGGTGTATGGGGCGGTGCTCCAGCCCACTGAACCACCTGGCCAGGGTGCTGATCTTTTTCTTAATCATAGAAGTTTGTGGGCAGAAAGTACTAGGGTTGCCCCAAGCAACCCCACTGTCATTTCAGCCAGAGGGGAGGTCCTGTTTCTCAGTCAATTTCCGAACACACTTGGCAAATTTAAAATCAGAAATCTTATTCAGATCATGCAAATTCACGTGCAGCCTGTTCTGTCCATATAAATGCACATGTGCCACAAGCAACATTTTAAAGTATGATGCAATAAAAATATATAAAATCCAAGTGTTTAATTTACATCATGTATTCTGAATACTATGTATTTTAGAAAGGTGTTAGTTGTGTAGATTTTGAGCATAAAATTTGAATGGGTGGCCAGGGGACCTCCCTCAACCAAGCAGCTACTGACTAGAGAGCACAGTGATCACGTTCAGATGTCTCTCGTCTGAGGGAGCCATTGACACTCTTTCCTCCCCGGCCTGCGCTTGCCCGATCGCTAAGTGTGCTCTGTAACAATAACAGTTCATAATGGTGATATTATTAACTGCATTGTGCATATTATTGATTTACTCTTTGTTCTGCATCATTATCCTTTCACCAATGAGTTTACTGCATTATTCTCACATACTTAGTCAAGCACCAAATTACAACGAAAGGGCAGGCTCTTGTAATGGCATCTAATGGAACATTGCATAAGTGATCATCACTGCCTCCTATTATGAGCTGCCTCCAGCCATGCACTTTCTGCCTTATTGGAATGTGCACCGAGCAATTACCAAGTGCAAGGGACCTGGCCATTTTGAAATTTCCCACAGAATTACTGTGCTTCATGTTCACCACCTGCCCATGCCTCACAGCCCAGCCAGGGATTCAGCCTCTGTCGCTGTCAGCCTGTGGGGCACAGGGACCTGGCCTGAGCCCCTTGCTACAACCTTTTTACTCTAAACCAGCAGGTTTCATCTGTACAGTCAGTCAGTCCCTGACTTTCGGTCCCGGGGCTAGCTCTTGCACCAAAGTACATAGTCCTGATCAAGCATCATGTAGCGAATATAAGTGGCCACAGTATAGTCTGGTGTCAAAGTCAGATTGGTCCAGGAGCCCAAAGATGTTGAGGCGACGCTTGTTTCAACAGCCCTGGAAGAGGGGTTCCTCTCCTCAGGGGGAGCCACCGTCTCCAGAAACGGAAGTCCACACCATCCTGGAACAAAGAAAATAATGCCAGCCTCATCTCTCCCCAGCTTCTCCCCATGTCGAGGTCAATTCTTTTGGCTCTCAGGGAAACCTCAGGCACCCTAAGGAAGCAGCTGTCTGGGGACACACAGATCTGCAGCCTGATCTATGATTCCATAGGCATCCCATCCCCATTTAGCCCTGAGTAATGCTCACTTACTGTAAAGTGTTACATGCCCCCATTGTCGGAGGAGTTATGGCGGAAAAATGCAAAATTTTCCTTTTTACTGCTTATGGCCAGCAGAGCCCATAACGTGTCAAGCTGCACATTAGCCACCCTGATAAAAGTTCGCTTTCTTACACACAAAATCATCGTTTCAGCAAGATTTGTTATCTCATTACCTGATAAGCTCTATGTCATAAACCAAGACTCATTCAGTAAATCTCCCGGGAGGACGCTTTGTGGGCAGAAAGGGAGAGATATGAATCTGCAAGGGACTTGATAATGCAGCATTTAAGCGCAAGCATAATGTCACTTATTGTTAAATGCGTAAAACCACTTGGCCAAACGGTTGGGCTTTTAATAGGATTTTGTGCAGCATCAGGTGAGAAGCCATATGCCTTTTCTGTCGAGGAGTCACTGAGCACCTGCCAGCACCGCTGCTTTGCCTCACAGCCCTCTGGGGATGGGAGCCGGGCTTTTATTGAGACCCAGGGAGGGGGGTGATGAATGCTTTCCTGCAGCTGCGCGCTTCCTCTGTCCTGCTGGGAATGGGTGCCTGGGTCATTGCTGGGCCGGCCTCATCTAACTGGCCTCTCCCATTCAGGCACATTGTGGTCTGTGGACACATCACTCTGGAGAGTGTTTCCAATTTCCTGAAGGACTTTCTGCACAAGGACCGGGACGATGTCAACGTGGAGATCGTCTTTCTTCACAAGTAAGAGGCCCCTGTTGTTTCGAGACCCTCCACCCAACAAGACACCCGGAGAGGGACACCCTGAGTGTCTGTAGGAGTGGTGGTGTGCGGGTGGCATTGAGGGGGCAGGGCAGAGGTGTATGAGCCACGATCCCTGCGAGCCTCATTGGAGAGGACAGTATAAACCATGGGCAGGGAAACAACCCCCTAATTCAGTGATGAGAGCAGCACCTGCCTCTGTGAAGGCAATTCTGGAGTTTATTATGGGTCACACACATCATCACTGTCCCCTCAGCTGTCTAGATCTATGTGATCCAGATGTGCCCATAGTGTCTGGTGTGGAATGATTAGCAGTATGTTGTGGATGCTTTATGAGTGCAGGAGTGACATAGTGATCAAAGAAGACACAAACCTAACAGGGAGCAGGGTATGAGGTAACAACAACAACAACCACAACCACAACAGCCGTGGTTCCTAGAAACCTTTATTGGGGGACCGGCCCTGTGCTTACTGGTCACCTTCATTCAGTCTCTCCTTCAGTCAACAAAAGGAGTAAGAGTACATGCTCTGGATTCAGAGTACCTGATCTGAATCTTGACTCAATCAATTACTTGCTGAACAAGTTACTTAACTTCTCTTGGCCTCAGTTTCCACATCCATAAGACAGGGAGATCATCATGGTTTCTATCAGCCTCTTTGGCTTGTGAGAAAGAAGAAGTAATCCATGTAAAGTATGCGGAGCAGAATCAGGTGTGAAGTAACTGCTCAATAAATGTGAGCTTGTGCTGTGAAAGATAAGATATATTAGGTCACATAATCAGTGTAGAAGTTAGGTCTCATTATGTTTGTTTTGCAGCTGAGGAAGGCAAAATAGCTACCCTCTGCTCAATGTTGTTGACATTTTAAGCTTTGTCACATCCCCTTTTAAATAAAAGGTAGTCTACCCCAGGGATGGAAAGCTGGGTGGTGGGCTTAAGCATGTTGACATGGGTTGCGCCGCCTTCTTTCATGGAGATGAGGCCATCAATGGGCCAGCCCTAGCCTTAAGTTGCCGGAGGGATGAAGCTTCCATGTTGATGTTGGCTTGATATGGGGTTGACTGCCCCAGGACTCAGTCATGCTCTGAGATTTCCCTGCAAGCTCCCATTCTGTACATCCTCTTTCTTTGGGCATTTGCTCACCAAACTGACCACCATGGTGGAGCACCAGCATTTTTCCTCTTAGCATTGACTTCTCTAAGTTCTGAAAAGACTGGCCAGGCCATGGGCCTAGGACCAGAATCCACAGATCCATTCGGTGCTTCGCCACTGACTGCCAGTTGTGGGGCCTGTCTTCTGCTGAGCATTTTAGAAGGTTCAAGAGAAGCAGAGTGTGTAGGTTCTGCCCTCTTGTTGGTTGAACATTTCAAGATGAGCACATGTGCAACATTAGAGCATAACATTGATCTAATGTTAACCTACTAAAGTCAGTTTAATCAAGTAGCAGAGTGGCCTGGGTCTCCATGTACCAGGGAGAGACCACTGACTGCTTCTTCATTACTAAGGCAGGATTCAGGAAAGAAGCATGGTTTGTGTTGGATCTGGACGACTGGTCAGATTTGTACAGGCAGTTGCCTTTGCCTCTTCTCTCACCCATGGCTTTAGTCTGAATCAACAAGCTGGCTTCTAATGCTTCTGTGGTTAGAATTCACCCGTGTGCCCCAGCATCTCTTAGTCAGCATCATAGTAGATGGCCCAAGTTAATTCACCTCTTGAAGCTTTGTGTTAATAACTTACCTTCCTCCTGGGTTGTTTTGAGATTTAAATGAGTTAATACTTGTCGAGTGTTTAGAATCGTATTTGCTATGTAGTAAATGCTGAAACCACTAAAAATTATTTTTACTAGGTACTTAATAAATGTTAGCCAAGTGTTGATTAACACAGTTCTTGGTGCCTGGTAGGTTCTAACTAAGTATCATCACTCAGGGCCTGGTATCCTACCATATGGAGAGTAGGTATTTTTCATCTCTGCAGAATCAATAAATGAATGAATAAGTTTATCACTGTTTTAATCTTTGTCCTCCAATGGGAAAGATGTCGTTACAGCTCAGCCCTAAGAATGACAGATTCTGTACACACGTATGAACCAAGAACAGTACTGAGAGTAAATGAACTCTGTATGTGGCTGCTCAGAGGTGACAATTTTTGATTCAGACCTTAAGAAATGAGAAGTCCAGGAGGTGGAGAAACAGGGAAAATGCTTCTGATAGAGGGACCAGCAGGAAGCTCTGCCAGGGGGACCTTTGGCTAATCACTGATGTCACGGCCTCAGTTTCTCTATTCATAAAATAGGGATTCCATTCATAATGAAGTTGAAGACATTATACCCCAAACTCTTCAGACTTTACAAAAGTCGTGGGCCTGTTTACTTCACCTTGGTATTGGTTTTGGCTTGCAGTTGGGCTGGGGTTTCACCTCCCTTGAGTGCGAACCTTTTATTCATGACAAGCACGGGAGCTGCTTGAAGGTGAAAGCCTTTTCTCAAGTCCGACTCTGTGAAACTCAAGAGAAGGGAGGCCATGGAGGCGGAAATACCTGGGTCTGTCATGTTAATGGCCATTTCTTCTCTCCCTGCACAGCATTTCTCCCAACCTGGAGCTTGAAGCTCTGTTCAAACGACATTTTACTCAGGTGGAATTTTATCAGGGTTCAGTCCTCAATCCGCATGATCTTGCAAGAGTCAAGGTAAGAAGGAAGGAGTGACTTCTGCTTTTACTCCATCTAAGTGGCGGGTGCCTGACTCTGTTGAGGGACATACCTCTCAGGGTAGCTAAGAGTCACCTCCCAACCCCTAATAAGTCAGAAACCACCAACCTTGACATCAACCTTCCTTTGATCCCAGGACTTCGTTCTGCTGGCCCCCCGTAGATCACTTTTAAGCAGTCCACACTTGAACTAGCTGTAACCTGAAACGTATTTTGCTAGTTCCCTCAGTATCAGCACTGCTAAAGGAAGTACACTAGTTGTCTCATATACAACAGAGTAATCAAGTTTTGCCCACATTGAATACCTAAATTGGATTCAACATAGCTCTGAGATTTATTATCCATATCAGAAAGGAACATTACGTATCAAATATAAAATATAATTTTACCAAGTCGTAAAACATTTTGAGCTTCCTTTTTCCCCCCACCAAAGATTAAGGTGCAAAACTAAGCATACAGGCAGGTGCTGCCAGTTGGTAATGGGCTCGTCCTTCTTCCCAGAGTGTGCTAAGGTAGAACCTTCTTATAAGGGAATGGGGTACAGCAAAATAGCATCTGCTACTCTATTCATTTTGTATCAATTTTGTAAGCACGCTCACTATTTGCATGCCAGTGAGTATAGATTAAAATTGTGAATCCACTGACATCTACATGCTAACTGTGGTCACCACATAATTCAGTGAACAATGTAATTGGCAAACATGAATAAGCCAAAAATATTTGGGTAAATTCTTTGGATTATTAAGGAAAACCAGAGATACTTGGGTCACATACCAAGGAGAAAACCGCGCCCTCCCACCCAGTGCAGGACTGACGTGTCAAGTCCAGCATACCAAGCAGGACAGACTGCAGGCCTGCGCCGGCATGAGAAGTCTTATACTTATAGGTCCAGCTAATCTTACTATTACCCAGACTCGATCCAAGTCACGGTGAATGTGAAAGCTTATGAGAACTTAGAGAAAATAGTTATTCTTGAACTTCATTTAGATGTAAGCAATAATGCACAACTTGTGATCCCTCACAGGGATAAATTATTTTTGGCTCATGTTTAGGTAAGTCAGTAGGTTATAGCTGGATATAATCTGTAACACATTATTTTATACATACAGATTTGTTGTCTTTTGAATATTTGAATGCTAATTGAATACTGAGCTGTTATCTGATTCAGGGCTCTCATTTCCTCTTACTCCCCGGTTAAGATGTGAAAAAGGTTAGATGAAGGACTTTGGAGTCTAAATGACTGAATCTCCAACTACTCAGTTATCTTGGTAACCTGAGAGGACGGGCTTAGCCCACCTAACTCCATTTCCTGTGTGGAAAAGTTAGGATAATGGTGCAGACAATGGGGCAAGGGGTTGGGGGGGCAGGTGGACTGAAAGGCTTAGTTAATAGTTATTTAAAGAAATCTGGAAAGCTCACATGTAAGAGAATATGCAAAAAGAACAGTACACGTACGAAGGTGCATGCTGTGCCTTTCAACAGCAATAAGATGAATTGTTTATATCATAACAAGAACTTGCAACCTACACTCAGGACAAAAACTAGAATCTCTTCAAATTAGGACTCTTCAAGAGAAAAGATTTCCTTGCAAAGTGCCGGGTTCCCCAAGAGCTATTAAGAGAGAGAGCCTGCCACCAAGCATGGCTATTTATATGTTTGTGTCCTATGATTTTCCTTTTGATGTCTTAGATAGAGTCAGCAGATGCGTGCCTCATCCTTGCCAATAAGTACTGCGCTGACCCTGATGCCGAAGATGCCTCCAACATCATGAGGTAAACTCGGGGAGGCCAGGGAAGGCTCTGGGCTTGGTGGTCTTTTGGGTCCTCTGCAGAGCACCATCTCCCCCATAAGCTACCCACAATGTGCCACCTGCATATGCCTGAGGGGAGCTGAAGCTGTGGTGAGCGGGGAGGGCAATGCCACAAGGCATTGTTAACAGGCAGTTCATCCTTAGAAGATGGGAGCCCTAGGGTCTTGAGTTTGAGGTTCTTTAGACATGACTGGTAAAGGAAAGATAAATTTAGGTGGGCACGGGCCTGAAATAAGGTACTGTGTTTCCTAAGGGGGATTGGATCTAAGATACTTTAACTGGGGGTGGTTTTGTCTCTCAGGGGACACATTTTGAAACACCTGGAGATGTTCTTGGTTGTCATAACTTGGGGATAGTCCTGCTCGTGTCTGCTGGGCAAAGACCATTAATGCTACTCATCGTCCTGTAATGCAAAAGACAGCTCCCCACAGTAGAGAATTATCTGGCCAGAGGGTCAGTACGGCCCAGGATAAAAAGCCCCATGTTAGAACTTTCCCAATGTGTCTATAGCACATTGATTAATGTCATCCACAAAGGGGAGTTTGTTTACCAATGAGTTTGTTTCAACCGTTTTCCCCAAGTGAAATGGTTTTGTTCACTGAAAGCTTTCTCAATGCTTTTACTACTAATAGGAATTTTTAAGACAATGTGCTATAGAGAATTTTCAAACCTATTTGAGTATAAGCCCCTGGCCTCCGTTTTTACAGAACATCTGCCAGGGGCATTCTTTGAGGACCTCTTCCCAGCACCCTACTGGCAAATGGGCCAAACCTGTCTAGGGCCGTCCTCTGCCCAACTCCCGCTCTTTACCATTTCAGAAGAAAATTGTTCCGTGTTTGTTCTTTCACAGACCCAAATTCCAGACATCTTGTGACTATGAAATGTCTAAAAAGTTAAGATATTTTGCTTCAGGTTGTTGAAGTCCTTTTGAATTCTCTCCTACAGCAGAGTGGTTAAGAGAGCTGGGAGAGAATAATAAGGAGAACCTCCTGGAGAAGAGATGAACTAGGGGAAAACATTTCACTCCCACTGTATTCCCAGGAACTCTTGCCTAATTGCAAACAGCCATCTTTTGGGTCTAGACAAAGATTCTGTTCTCCCTGCAGCTTGGTTTACTGTGTCCTGGGAATTCACGGAGCTACAGGGTTGGGAAGTTGCCTTTGCATCATCACAATGCTCCCATCTCCTTTCTTTGCCTTTAATCAGTGGCCCCAAGTGACATGAGCTTTCCCATCAGTGAGGTGGGGAAATTCCTCCGTGCGTTTCGGGTGAGCAAGTCCTCCCCTCAGCATCTGGTCCTTGAGTCTGGCGAGCGACATCTGGCGCAGCATTCCCTTTGCACTCGCCTTTCTTTGGCAATATGATTAGTGCAGTCGTTTCAAGGAAGTTGATGCCTGAAGTCTTGTAAGGATTGGACTTGCCAGGCTGCAGGGAGATGGGCCTATCCCCTAACGAGTCCCAGCTGGAAAGTGACTGCAACAGCATCAGCTTAAGGTGGGTCAGCCTGCCCTTTCCTTGAACTAGGATTTCCACCCTTGGCTATGTTTTTGTATCATTGGAAGTGATAAAAGTAGCCTTTAAGGAATGAGGTCTCAGTATCTTCAAAATTTCATCCAAAGAATCAAAAGAAGATGAGGCTTAGTGTGTTGACCCTACAGAAGGTAGGAGGCTGGGACTGCTTTTTTTTTCCCCCCTCAAAAGTGACTAATTGAAATGATAATAGCTTTGAAATGGGCATTTCTCTTCATCGCAATTTTTATATAAGCCCTGACTGTGATAGGGTTAATATGAAGACATACAGGTTCCTAAGAAGCGGCATGATGCCAAGGCATAAAGGTTCCTGAACAAGGTATTGTAATATCAGAAATGTAATTAAGACATCCATTAACTAGAATCAGAACTAAGGCCCAGGCAGCAAAAGGAAATGGGAGACTCAGGGTTAAAAATGGGCTCTGCCTTTCCCTTATTTGTATAATTCTCCTTCTTCCTTAATTTAATGAGACCAATCTGCCCCTTTTGAAATTAAAATGTCAAAGATCCATTTGAAATGAGCTAATGCAGAAAACTGGCTGATGCTGTGAACTGAATTCAGACGGCTGACAGAGGCTCAAAGTCCTTGAGTTATAAGCATGGGCCAACGCAATACTTTTTCAAAAATAAAATGAAATACTTCAAGTGCAAAAGCCCAGGGTGAATTTGTGCATGAGAGACTTCTGTGTGATATGTTTCCTACATTCACAAGTTTTAGCTTTTCAGACAAAGCTGCTCCCTGGCTGCCTTTTCTCCATCTTTGCACGAAAAGGGAAGGGAGCACAGCTGACTGTTTCTTGGTGGGAAGTTTGGGCGGGAGGTCATAATAAATGCACTTGCATTTCTGATTAGGCATAGGAGGTGGCCTTTCTGTGGATTCCATTCTTTAGCCTTCCTTGTCACAGAAGGAAATGTACAATGTCACCTCTGACAGAGTCGGTAATGACAAAAACCATAACTTACTCGTGGAGAGAGCTTTTAATGATTTCAAAGCATTTTCACATCTGGTCTTTCATTTTGCTCTTCATACCAACCCTGTGAAATAAATAAAGCAGGTACTGTTGCCCCCAGTGTCCAGATGAGGAAACAGTCACAGAGAGACCAGGGATTTCCGGAAGGTCAGCCAGTTCGTTAGTACAATGGCTGGGACTGGAGTCCAGGTGTTTCTGTGCCTCTGCTCTCTGCCCCTTCCCTTTTGGCAGTGTGATGGTCACAGAAGCAGAAGGGGAGGGGCCGGCAATGGCTAATCCTGAGTTGGTCTGAGGGCAGTTTGGAGGACTTTTCCACCAAATCAGGACCTCTGGAAGGCCTTGCCTTCCATCTCTAACCAGCATCGAAGTCATCATTTAGATAGCTATTAGCTATGGAAGGCTGAGTCATTGATCTCATCCAAAGAGCCATGCTTAGAAATCATTTTTGTGTGTGGCCATGTGTACGACAATTAGAATCATTTGTTTGATTTGTCATTGTTGTCTCAAATTATTAGCTTGGGGAATTGGACTCCTAGCAAATTGTTTCTAGGCTCTCGTCTCCAGGGTACGAGGTTCCAAACCTCCCTTGGCCCCATAATGGAGCTTGCTTTCTTTAGATGCCTATATAGGCAACAAGCCCTGATCTTTGCTCCAGAAACCCCCACCCGCAGGACACACACACTCGCACACCATCTATCACCGAGACACCAATGGCTTCTTTCCTCTTTTATGCCCAGGACACAGTCTCTGATTGTTTTGTGGTTTCTTTGGCATGCTACCATGGGCTACAGTGGTGGAAACACAGTCTAACTTCGTCCAGTGCCTGCAGCCCCTCGGGATGGCCCTGGCTGCTGGCTCCATATTTGCTGCATTTGGTTGTGATCAAATTAATCTCATCAGACTCCGATGGTAAGGCAAACCCTGTCTCAGCTTTGGTTTTTTTCTTTTTCAGAGTAATCTCCATAAAGAACTACCATCCGAAGATAAGAATCATCACTCAGATGCTGCAGTATCACAATAAGGTAGGACAGTGAGAGCCCATCCGAGGCTCAAAGATGCACACACAGGTCCAGTCTCTTCTCCCTCACTGTACAGTCAAACACGTGTGTGCATGCATGCACACACACATGTCCACACACAACAATGCAACCCAAAGGCCTGGATAAAGAGGATGGTGGGTTAAAACCTCCTTGGGACATTTCTTCAGTCCAAACACTTTGTTTGTAGTTGGTCACTAGAAGCAAGCTCCTTCATGTATTGTTTCATTCATTTAGGAAGCATTTTTTGGACCCCTAGTTTCAGAAGTATTGATGCATTCTTAGACCTCATTCCAACAAGTTGCATTTTTATGTGCTGCACTAATTTCTTTGGTTGGTATTTACTGAATACATACTAGATGGCCCACATCCTCTGCCTCACTCCCTAACCCTACATAGATGTAATGAAGAAGTCCTATTTTGTGCCCTCAAGAATTCAATACTCAAGGTGTAGAGTGTGTCCCAAAGAGGACTTTTCTATCTGAGGCCAGGTGAATGTCGGTGAACATAACTCATGTTGGGTGGAGAATGCGGAGCATGGCATTCTCAAATTCAAAATGAGAATTGCATGGTTGAATTCAGGACAATAGTTAGCTATCTAGAGATTAAACATAAAGGAATTTTCCTCGTGTTAGAGTTTACAAGGGGGATTGGAAAGTCTGGGTTGTTTCCCCGAGTCCAATCTCATTCAAAGGCAATGCTCCTTCACTTGGATAGTCATTAAACTTCAGGAAAACAGCTTTGGGGGAGGGAAGGTGGCACCTTTTTTCTGCTTGGTATGGAACCAGTTATCCCCTTAATGAGGCTTAGAAACCAGAGGCTGGTCAGTACCTGGAACCAGGTGTCCTGTCTGAACAGAATAACTCCCTGCTGGGTTTTGAGTGAGCTTGTGTCCCATCTTATAGGCCATATTCCCTACGAAATAGGCAGTCAGGTGACCCAGAGAAGACCCCACTCTGCCAAATGCGCCAGTGCCATGCCATTATTTCTAAATTGCTGGCAAGTGCTGCCCCGTTTTGTGGTGTGGAGGCTCATCAAAGGCTGTTGTTGCGTGGAGCCTGCTGTCAGTGACTGGCCCGCCACTCGGGTCTGCTGCCCACTGCCAACCGTTGCCCAGCCCTGGGCAGGTGGTTCCGGTGCAGAAAGTGTTGCACTGCAGCCAGTGGGCCTGGTGGTGGGCACCCAAGGTCACACTGTCCTGTTTGTTTCTGGAAAACACAAGGCACTGAAAAGAGACAGTGAGGATATTGGTAACTCGCAAGCACCAATTTAGAGAGGCTGTTTGACAGCAGCCCCTGTAGGTGCAGGAGGAGCTGTGGCTGATGACAGCTCCTGAAGCAACGAACGTTTCCTTTTTTACTTGTGATTTGAAATTTTATTTTGTGTGGGAGTGCTTTAAGCTGTTGTTTAGGTTTTTGGCTGAAGTTAGATTGAATAGGAAAATTAATGTGGTATGTTTACAAAGGGATGTCAGTTTCTTCCTTTCTGCTTCCAATGGGTGCTGATGTAGCATCTTCAAGAAATTAAGGAGGATTTCAGCTATGTGATTCTTGTCAAACTCAAAGTAGCTCCGTGACCTAGGATCCAGATGGCACCTGGTCAGTGTTCACACGGTTGTAGCAAGCTAAACATCTTCCACAAACCTCCACATTGTAATTGTTCAGAAACAATAATGAATACATCAATTGATCCGTGGTTATTTGGCTAAAACACATTTTATTTTAAACCACATCAATCTACTTGGGTTTAAGAACTAGGGAAAACCACTTATAAGACTTTGCCCCTGGAGGTTTAGTATGGGTGCAAGGGACAGAGTGACTTTGACACAGGGCCTTTTTCTCTTTCACTTCATTTATATCTTCTAGAGAAAGAATAGAAAGTCCACTGGTCATTATTTGTTATCTTATTCCTTGTAGAATTGCAACTAGGCATTCTTCACCATGCTTTATAATTTTGCTCTACTCCCTAAGGTCTACCTGTACCTACCCTTCCACTGTGTTTTTCTCCACCCTCTATACAATATTACTTTTCTTTTCGTGGCACTTTCTCTTCACCAGACATCTTCACCCATTAAAACTTGCTTTCAGGAAAGAACCCGGTATGTGTGTGTAAACTTACATCACTGTCAGCATAGTCCAAGGGATAGTTAACTCCATCACTGGATACCATACATAAAATATAAAGAATTTCAGTCCCCTGTGACCAAATGAATGTGATATTATTATTCTAGGATCTAGAGGCATGCAGCAAAGCTGCCTGTTTTCTCTCCGTGTACTCTCATAAAATTGGTCCTGGGTTTGTCAGCATAATAATCTCAGGCATTTGTGTCTTATTTTATGGTTTTAAAAGAGCTTTGACATCCATTATCTCATTTAGTCCTCTTCTGACCATCTGTGCATTTTAGCATCCCACTGTGTCTTCAGGGGCTCTAAGCTCTGTCTCAGACAGAGCAGCTCTGGTCAGTACAAGTTGTGGTCTGTTGGCAGCCAGGGAGCTAAGAGAGCGGCCAACTACCACCTTCTCTTTAAACAGTCACACTGTGGTGTGGTGGTCTTTTAGACCTCAGAATAGGCCTTACAGAAAGATTGATATTCTCCAAAGTGGATATGTTTCATATCACTAAAGTCCGTGGAGAGAAACACTCACAGGCTAACCATCTCTGAACAGGGAAAGAAGATGGCTTAGGAAGCTTTCTGATTTGATCATAAATGGCTTGGATATCTTCAAGGAAAGAATGGTTTATGACATCTTGGAAAAGCATTGGTCCTGATGACTTAGCTATTACTGGAGTTTTTCTTCCAGCAGACTATAATGAAAGCAGTCTTTTTCTCTGACCTGGAAGCCAAGCCCTAATGGCCCAATGGAGATGCAGGTTTTTTACTTTCTCACTATAAATCCTTATACTTGAGCCATAGTGGTAAAAGTGTTTTCTCTAACCTGACCTTCTTTGATCCTTATGGTGGCTTCCCCATAGTTTTATATGTAGTGAGAGATGGGACGGGAACTGGAATTCATCTCTCCTGGTTTCCCAGGACAACCTGTTTTGCATTCCTCCTTCTTGAGAGGAGGAGTGGCACAGCAGCAGTCACCGGGAACCCTGGCCTGCTGGACCTGCCCAGCAGGTCTGCTTCTCCAGGCTGGAGAGGACTTGCCTCTAGACTCCCATGCAGCAGTGCGGGCATTTTCCACTGGGCCCGCATTCCTCTCAGGGAAAAAGGACAGAGTTGCCAGAAACAAAGAATTTGAGTTTGTGGGTCACCTTTCTCTCTTTGCATCATGCACACAGAAGTCCCTGGCCCTGGGCTTTGGCCCATCCCTCACGGCTCCCTCCCCACATTTGCAGAAGCTGTGGGGGCCAAGAAAGGAAGCCTGAGAAACGAAACAAGCGCCTTTCCTGTGTATTAACATGTAAAATATGTCTAAGGAACTCAAACCAGATGGGCACAGGAGAGACCCAAAGGCCTAAAAGCCTGGACTTTATACCCTGGATGGCACATGGGGACGTGAAAACCCTCTTGAAAATGTTGTGTTTGTTTGTTTGAAGATGCCTGCCTGGGGCTTGGAGCACCCAAATCTTCTTTCACATTTGATGATTTAATCTTCCATTACTTAGATTTAATGTCTCCTCATTCTTCTCAGATGGTGTTAATGCAAATGAATATTTCTTCACTTCGACTGATTGATATATTATTATCTATGGTGCCAGGGGAGTGGAGGGGAAAGTGGCCTTCGTAAGCCAGTGGAGAGTAGGAAGGGAAATGGGACAAAGGGCAGGACTCATTGCTGCTTAGGATATGATATGTGGATGGTCTCTGATGCTCAGCCACACAGACGCGGTCATCAGCTATGGCCCATTCATGGGACCATTTGAACAGAGCTGTCATCAGGAAGGATACAGTCACCTCTCCCAGGAGTAGACTGCACTGGGTCAGGATGCACGAGGCTGTCACAGAACTGGATTTTGCAAGAAGGAATTTCACAAGAGTGGTATTTCTGAAAGCAGAGCGGGGAGCCATTGGACCTGCCCTTTGTTTCTCCAACAGAGTCTTGTATCTTCTTGTAATATAACTCTGTATATTGTCCTGAAAGTGAAGGGAAGCCTCCTTGGTGCCCCTCAGGTTTGGAGAGTAGTAACCTCAGGGCTGCAGAGTCTTGGCACTAGCAGAACCTAGAGGGCTCTCTCCCTTGCAAAGCCAGAGGCCTTTCTGCTGAGACTTGCACACTTTCTGACTTTTAGGGACAGAGGCTTTGCATTTTTTGGAGGCAACCTTCTCCATTTATTAGACAAATTGCATCCTTACAAAGTTCCTTTATAACACAAGCCAAAAATAACTGCTCTCTTGTAATATACTCCAGTCAGTCCCCGTTCTGGCCCCTGGAACAAAGCAAGACTAGCCTAATCTCTCTTCATCACTACAGCACCTGTATTCAGAGGTATCCACCCTGTCTCCTTGAAGGCGTGGTCCTGCTTCAGGCCAAACACTGCCTCTCTCTTAATTGTTCTTCTAAAGGTGTTTTCCAGAACTCACACTTTTCTTTGTACTAGTCATTTTTTTTTTTTCTGTAAGTTATTCAAACAGCTAGCTTCCCTTCCTAAATCTGACTGTTAAAACTGGATTAAGTACTCTGGAACTAGCCTGACCAGCTCACATCAGAATAGAACATTCATTTACATTCATTTCCCTAGGTCTGGAGATCATTTCTAACTAGCAAGCATTGGCTTGCTCTGTAATTTGTCACACGGTTGGCCTTTCTTGGGTTTTAGTTACCCACATTTAAGTTGTTTTTTTTTTTTTTTCTTTCACTTTTCCTCCTGTCTGCTGCCAAGTTAGGTCTTCTCATTTTGAATTTATATAATTGATTTTTCTTAACCTAAATGCTGTACTTAACATTAAGGCCTTTAAAATCTTTTCTGGTTGGTTTTCTTTCCCATTTTTTCAACTCTGGAGAACTTTTTGAATCTTGATTCTTTCATCCAGTGTATTATCTATGACTCTGCTTCATGCCACTTAAAAGTAATTGGCTGAGCATGCCTCTGGGCCCTGATCTCAGCATCTGACCTAACTGTTGAATAGGATCAGTCCATCTGCAACAGATTGTAACATGTCTACACTGTGATTTGCCTGATGATTTAGGGCAGTGCTTCTCAAAGTGTGGTCCCCAGCTCAGCAGCTCAGCATGGCCTTGACCTTTTTAGAAATGCAAATTCTCCAGCTTCACCCCACACCAACTGAAGCAGCAACTGTGGGGGAGGGGCCAGCAATGTTTTTGTTCAAATCCTCCAGGTGACTGATGCTAGCTCAAGCTCGGAGTAGTGGGAAGGCAGATAAAAAAGAAACCTAAAGGACACAGGCATCTGACAGCATTAGAGTCTATTTGAGGAGCCAGTTTATGAATGATGTAGCCAGACATCCTAGTAGCATGGGCCAATGTCACAAGAGGAATTTCCCCTGGACTTTATTTGGCTAAGGACAAACCCGAGGGGAGGTCTTGGGCTTGGTAAGTGCAGAAGCAATATTCCAGAGAGACCGAAGTCAGATGAAGAGAAGAGTTGAGTAAAACACCAAGCAACAGACCCAGGCATGGGCAAGAAAGGACGAGTCTGGATGACCCTGAGCAATTGGGCAATGTTGCACTTCCCAGAGGAGGTTTTAAACAATAGAACATTTAACAAAGTAAGGTCTCATAACTGTTTTTCTTTCCACAGGCCCATCTGCTAAACATCCCAAGCTGGAATTGGAAAGAGGGTGATGATGCAATCTGCCTTGCAGAGCTGAAGCTGGGGTTCATAGCCCAGAGCTGCCTGGCCCAGGGCCTCTCCACCATGCTCGCCAACCTCTTCTCCATGAGGTCATTCATAAAGGTAACGTCGTGTCCTATTAGAGCACATTAGCCCCCAATTCAATTTGTCGTGGGGTTGAGTAGAGAGCACAGCTTAAACTCAAAACAGATCGACGGGCTTTAACCACTTTGGTTAGGGAGAAATTCCTTGTTACAGATTTGGGCAAGAGGCCAACTTCTTTCAAAATTATGTTTTTATTTTTATTTGGCACATCCATGGCCATTAAATGATTGTTCAAAGCACAATCCACTCTTTTTTTTAGATAAACCACATGTTTATCTATCAACAAAGCCTCCGCTGTTAAAACAAAAATATGATTTATATACATTCCATATGGCACCAGAGCGCCTAAAGAAAAGAATTATCATTTTGCTCTTTTACATCAAGTGGCTGGTGGACCTCTCACTGTGCGGATAAATGCAGACCATGTGTTTGTGCTGAAGCCGAAACCCCAACAACATAATTCATTTATTTATTTCTGCACAATCAAGGAGGCCAGCAGGGCTGACATGCCATGGTTATTTGAATGGAGAGTGAAACGATGAACTGAGTCCTCCGCAGTGGCGCCCTTTACACCATGAGGCAGGCGGCCTGGATATGCTCATCGCCTTGTCAGCCGACTCACCCCACAGAGCTCACCGGGCAGCCACCCTGGCGGGGCCCCTGCCTGCTGGACCCGCTCAGGCAAAGAAACACTCTTACCTCACAGGCCAGGCATGTTCCCTGGACACTGGCTTGAGGGTCCAGGCTCCTACTTAGTGGACTCTTGGAGCTCAGGAGAATGACAAACCAGTCCTTTTCCTTAGATTCTTCTCAGCCTCAGCAGTCAAGGTGGCAAACCAGTGTAGTAAAAACTGTCTAGTTTGGATCTCTCTGATCTGGTGCTGGTGGCCCTTAGCTTAAGTTCTGGGCTTACATTCCCCTCCTTGTTATTCATTTATCCACCTTCCCCTTCCTGACTTAGTCATGGTTGAGGTGGGAAGTGAGTCACCATGGGGTCCTGCAAAGAGGGCCCAATGCTCTGAAATCAAAGGTATGAAGTCTCCAGGCTTTTGCTGCCCTTGCTGCTCTATCCACCACCAGAGATAAGGCCTTTGCTGGGTGGAGGAAAAGGCCCTGGATGTGGAGAGAGGGATAGGTGGGAGGATGCACGTGCAGGTGATAGAATAACTTCATGTCAGTGCTCATCCTGGGCCTCCGCAAGTTGTTTCACTTAGAACAGGATATTTTTCTAGGTCCTTACTTGCTGTACCCACCTAATTTACATTATGTAGCCAATTTATAGTTAACATTGCTCTGTAAAAGAACAAATTGTTTTGGAGTCCCTTCAATTACTTTAGCAACGGATGCCTTGATTAAAAAATTCTTCTAGTCACTGTATGCCCAAAGACCTCAGCTTCACTGAACCCCTGGCTCAGACCCAGCTCACAAATAAGTACATTGCATTCCTCTAAGTGGCTTCTTTAGTCCAGGCCTCTAGCGCCCTGCCTGGGTGAAACAATGCAGGCAAAAGGGAGACGCAGGCAGCGTGATCCGTGTGGCTGGGTGTAGAGACAAGCCCAAAAGCCAGAGGGAAGCTTGTGTCTCCCAGACCCAGGATAAAGAACTGTCACTAAGAGAGCTCCTCTGGCCCATACAGCCAAGTTCTGGTGGTTCCGTCCAGCGGAGAGTTGCCCGCAGGACTGGGCACGTGGTCTGAGGACCTGGACTCTGCTTTCCTGTGTTGCTATAACGTGGCCTTGGCAGGGCCCCGTTGCCTATGGGGCACTTGACATGCGTATGTTTTGATTTTGTGGTGCTTGCATGGAAACTAGAGCCACCTGTCAGGAAAATTAATAAAATGGATATGACACTGAGTCTTCAGTGCTATTACCAGCAGGGAGAGAGAACTTCTGTCCAACCTCTCTCAAGACCTCTGCAGCCAAGGACGTTCCCTCCAGCCCAATGAATCCTACTGCCAAGTTCCTATTTAGGAAGAGTCTGTGAGAGAGGCCCAGCCCGGCCCTGGTGTAACTGAAAACACATTTCCCTCCTGGGGTTATGTTACTGTGTTGTTTCTGTCCAGGCCAACTCCTCTGCGTTTGGGGACAGCTCTCTGCATTGGGCCACATGACACTCAGGTGGTCTTGGTGTTGGAATTTGCTAGGCATGTGACCTGGAAATAACAAGACTTCCCTTTCTCAATTTTTTTCATTTAAAATAGGGACAGGCGTAAGCACATGCTCCCCATTCCATAATGTCATCTGTGTGCACTTACCCTCCAAATCCCAGATCCTTTTCTCTTTTAGTTCATGATAAACACCACAATCATGCTCTCCTTGGAAAGTTTTGTGTATTATCTTCCATTTTAGGGATCACAAAGCCTTCACTTATTTTTACTTGGGGGCAGATGGAAGAGGAAATCTATAAATGGATTATTGTTTACAGAAATTGCTTCCTTCCCCATTGTCCCCCGTGTCCTATGCAGAGAACTTATCAGCACATAGTCCTATTAGGACAGAGGGAGATGGGATAGGTCTTTGGCAACATTTGATCCCTTGAGAACACTTAGCATTTCTGGAAGCCAAAGGTGAAGTGTGAGCTCACCCTCCCCCTTGTCCTGGGCAGGTACAGTGTCTGTTTCTTGGTTCAGCAGAATACACTGTACTTGGTCCCTCCTGAAAGAAGAAGGAAGAGGAGAAGGACTGAAACCATGATGATATATCACAGGCAGAAGCACAGTGATTAGCCCCCAGGCTTTTAAAGCAAAGACTGAAAGTGAGAGTGAGAAAGCTCAACAAAAGAGAGATGGGTTACTGGTGTGTCGCAGGTACAAAAGAGACCTAGCCCAGAGGCACCAGGAAAAATGGGGGAGCACTTACTGACCCTCAACAATGTCACTTCAAAGGACCTCACCTGAGGGCCCCAAGACATGGCCCCTGAAACCTAGCTCCCATATTGGACACGTTATCTCTGAATGGACCTAAAATTGTGGGACACTATTTCTGTTTTTAGCCCACATCTTTGGGGCAATGAATTTTTAAAGTTTGTCTTTAATCTGTTCCATTTAACCTTCAAGGCATGCGGTCTACAGTTTCCAGGGTGCTAGGATTCGTTTAACAAGCCTTGTGAACTTGATAACCAATACCTTTATGAAAGATGCTCAGGTTGGCCATTCAGGGGGTCCCTGGCTCAGTGGTCTATTGCAAATGACAGGTTAAGCATTTTGCCCAGCAACACCCAGTTTTGACCTGGAGTTCCTCTAAGGGGTGAAGGCAAATGTTCTGGTTACTGTGACTTACCAACATCCATGTCGTCAAACAGGCCTGGAATATCTTGTCCATTTACCACTATCTGAGCTCCTCCCACCTGCCTGTCAGGTTCAAGTGAGAATCTTCTTAACGTCTTCTGTAAAGATCAAGACAATGAACTTATTTAGCCTATCTGCCATCGCCTCATCCCTGAATAAGTGGCCACACTTATCCTCTACTTGGCTTTCTCACTTGGATGTAATTTAAGATTCATTGATTTTTCTTTTTTTTTTTAAATTTTAGAGTCTTGCTATGTAATACTTTCTCTCCAACAAATCTGGTTTTAAGTTTGGGCTTGACCTGCTATTTTTGTGAATTGTTCTATTATTCTTGCTAGGATTAGCTGTCCTTGGACATGATAAATTGTATGCGTGGGTGTTGTGTGTATTTAGAGGGTGATTAATTCTTAAAATTTCCTTTCAGTCTACACTAAGTCTTCAAATTGAGCACATTTAAATTGTTCTCAGCATTGCCAACCATTTAAACTCTGCTAAGCTACCTTTTTGTACACACATACCCTCACACAGCCTAGAATATGGCATGCATTCTGTAATTATTTCTTGGTTGGATAAAACAGTTATGAAAATGGAGAAAATATGTGATGCACTCTTAAATTTTTTCCCTACTTTTTAAGACTTGGAATTGTGGGTGAAATTTACATAATATTAATCACAACACAGTCTCCTCCATCACATTTTCTATTTGTGAATGAGGAAGCACTAGGAGATCAGGCCCATGTTGTGCAGATTGTATCTTGGCTGAGTGGACTTTGCTGAACATAAAAACCATTTGTTCATCATTGTTATTACCACATTGAGATAAACTCTTGCGATATATAATCTTAGCAATAATTGTAGCCAAAAGAATAATTTTAATACTTTTGGGTTATGTTTATGTGCATATGTGTGTTTGAATATATGTGTACATAAAAACATGTTTTAGGAGCTGGAACTATAAATCAAGAATCTTTAATAATAGCTGGAATATACTAGGTTCTAACTGTGTGCCAAGTCCTACACTGTGCTTTATATAAATTATCTCATTAAATTCTCACAATGACCCTACCCAAACAGCATTATTAACAACCCCTCTTTACAGTGGCAGACACCGTGGATTAAGACAAGTTCAGCAACCTGCATGAGGACATAAAGTTGGAATGACAAACTCAGTTGTTCAAACCCAGTCAAATTGGTTCCAGGTTCATCCTGGAGTTGACCAAGAGGAAATAGGATTAGTGATAAGAGGAAACCTTAGCTGGTGCCATCACCTTAGCACAAATCTTAGCTTTTTGTAGCTTATTTTATGGAAACTATTGATTCAATAGAGATTCCCTGGTAAGCACACCTACCATATTCTAGGCAATGTGCTTATCAGACCATCATCCCTATGGCTAGCAGGCACTGATAAGCTTCTGTTCAGGTGGGGGTGTAGGAGCACGTGTTTGCATAGCCACATCCTGTGGGTCTTGCTGGCCTTTCTCTCTGGCCATCTCTGCAAGGGCAGAGGTCACCGTCTCAAGACAGATGAGGGATTAACGTAGTCTGGGATGAGTCAGGGAGGGAAATGTATTAGACACCCAAGAAGGAACTGACATCGTGCACTGCTGTATTTAGGGCAGGGGGTAAAGCTAATTGGCTTAGGTACGTGCTTCTGAGAAACGACAAGCAATTTTTTATTGGCTGGTAGGTAAAAGCTCTGCAGGGCTCAACTCTGTGTAGAGTCGGGGAGACT